TTAAAAGTAAAGTGTTATAATATTTCCCAACTATTTATATGGGATCATTTTAGTCTCAGAGTTTATAGAAGTGTCAAAATAGTCTTTAGCTTTTTAAAATTGAGATTGAAATAGTTTCTATCGAGAACTATTACAACTTGATTTTAAATATTTTTGTAAACTCTGGGATTAAAACTGCTCATTGTAAGTTGTTGACTATTCATTTAACATTTTAATGTTATATTACAAGATTTTATGTTGAATAGGTGAAAATAACATTACTAAGTATAAATTAGATTATCTTGAAATAATCTTATTCCCTGATTTAATCATTGAACTTTTAACTATTTTTGTCTATTCAATGTTGAGCATGATTTTTGCTATGTTAAAAGATATTCTATCCTTTTTTTCTCACAAGTATTTATCTTTTTATATATATATAAAATAAGAGTCATGCCCGACTTCACTATTAAAATATAAGTTTGTTGTGTATCAGAAGATTTGTGATGAAGTGATAAATTAATGTCTTAGTATTGTATGAAAATCCAACATACACAAATAATAAATAAGAGCAGTGGGATCTCAAATTTTACTCGGAAAAAACACTAACACGGTTGAAAAAAAAAACACTATGTAATTATGAGTGCATGGGTCATTTCTTCTTTGGAATTAGGGAAGATAAAAGTTGATCAATAATAACTATAACAAATCATTAAGATTCTAGTTGATTGTTATGGAGGTAGCGATCAGTCGTTCATGTTGTAGACAAGAACTATAACACCAACTTGTCATAGAAGTTGTAATTGAAAGTCATGGTAGTATGTGGTTGGTCATAGAGGTTGTTATAGGGAGCTGTAGGAGTTGTGAGAACGTCTGTAGACTGCAGAGGTCGGAGTTGGGAGCTGCGTGAATTATGATAATGTCCATAGGCCTCATAGGCTTGAGTTGGGAGCTACATGAATTATGGACCATGTAGGTTGGAGTTGGTCACATAGACCATAACGAGGAGCTGTAATAACATATGTAAGCTGTAGAGGCTAGAGTTAGAAACTACATGAGCTGAGATAACGTTTGTAAGCAACGAAGACCGAAGTTGGGAGTAACATGAGTTGTGGACCACACAGACAATAGTTGGTCACATAGGTCATGATAATGAGCTATAAATAATGTTCATACGTTGCAGAGGTCGGAGTTGAGAGGTGTGTGAGTTGAAAACCACATAGGGTGTACTTGATCATATACGTTGTAGTGGTGAGCTGCAATAGCATTTTTAAGTCGTGGAGGATGGAGTTGAGAGCTGCGTGAGTTGTGATAACAATTGTATGCAACAAAGGCCGAAGTTGAGAGTTGCATGAGTTGTGGACATCGTATGTCCTATTTGGTTACATACATAGTGGCGTGGAGCTATAATAACGTTCATAAGTTGCAAAGGCTCGAGTTGAGTGCTACATAAGTCGAGGGTCATGTCGGTCGTAGTTGGTCATGTAGGCTATAGTGGTGAGTTTCAACAAGGTTCGTAGGCCAAGAGGCCAGAGTTTAGAGAGGGTTGGGCTCCGATCTTCCTCTGATTTAGAGAAGGGTAGGACTCTATTTATAGAGTCTGTGAGAGATCTTTTTGCAAATAAAGGAGTCAAGACCACTCAATTGGATAACCCAGAAAGGTTCCCTTAATTGGACGGTGTTTCATGAACATTTGAACGCTTCAACAATTTCATAAGTTAGTGATGATCCTAGACTCATTGGATTCGTCTTGTCGAGACACTTAATTCAACTATAAAGTTGTCTAATTTGGAATCCAGTTGACCTTCCAATTGAGCACTCGAAGCTTTCAAAAATAGTTTAGTGGCTTGGTCTGAGCTTGATTTGACTTGGATTGAACCAATTTTGGTGGCAAAGCACTTGTTTCATCAAGCCGATTAGTTTGATTGTGTTTGCTGAAAATCAGAGTTTTAGATGATTTTTAATTGAAAATTTGAGCATATCTTGTTTAAAAAAATTACCCGAAATTCATGCCATACCACGGGATTCATGAAAATTTGTTGATGATGGATCAAAATTCATTTACACTTAAAACTCCACAAAGAAACAAATCAAAACAATATATATATATATATATATATATATATATATATATAGCTTAAATGAGAGCAGAAACTGGACTGCCGATTTCAATATTCAATGCAAGCTTCTCTTCTGTTTCTGTAATATTTGTCTTTACCCAAAGCTAATTTTTAATGCAAAGCTCCATATCAGTATTGTTATATTAATTTATATTACTTGAATCTGGATAGAGAAATATATAAATAAAATATGTCATCAGGCAAATTATTACATCAAATCTTCCTTTTTTTTTTTAATTCTCATCTATTAATATAATCTTTTTTGAAAGGGAGTCTAAATATTTAAAGGGATATCAAAACAATTTTAAAAAACAATTTTAAGTTCTTATTTATTTAAAAAAAAAAAATTGGGGCCCAAAATTATACTAATAAATATGTGTCACTAAATTTGTTAGGTATGACTCATAATATCAGAACTTGAAATCTTTTTGAATGAAGAAATGTCTCTTGTAATTAAAGATGAGTGTTTCTTGGAATTTAGTGGGTTGGGGGAGCGAAGGCGCAGCAAAAGACCCACATTGGTGCATTACTCTCACTTTAAGTAAATTAAAAAAATTAGCAAAAAATTCACACATACCACATAATTCCTATAAATTTACATATCTACCTCCTAAGGTTTGTTATGTTATTTATAATAGCGATATCTTCGATTCACTATTAAAGATTTGAGTGTTATGCTTCAAAATATGAAAGTTTAGAATTTGAATACAAAAATACATAAAAATGGTTTGGTATGTTTGTAAATGACCTAAGAAAAATTTTATGCCTTCATTTCTATTTTCAGAAAATATTTTTTTGGCAATTCATAATTTATTAATTTTCTTTTTAATACTTATTTAAATTAAAATAAAGCTTGGGTAAAATATTTAATTTTTAATTTTTTTTTATTTATTGCTTTCCCATCAAATTAAATGCATCCAAAGCCAAAGCCAAAACAAAGCAAGCCCAACCTAATGGGGCCCAGATAAATAATATTTATCTTATATTTTATAGTAGTTAAGAGCTTATATAATATATCCTTACATTTATATATATAAATAAAATAATGATTTTGCAAATGATCGTCCCATTTGATATTAAAATATATTATCTTTAGATAGGAGAGGGTTCCTCAATTCGAGTCTTTGGAAGCACAACATTCTTTGGAAAATTTACATGCATGCCACACAATTCTTATGCATTTACATATCTAATGCCGAAAGTTTGATATTTACATTTAGAACACCTTGTTCTTGTATTTTACATTTTAGTAAGTAAAAGAGTGGTATTTTTTGATGTGATGTCGAAGGATTTGAGTGTTATGCATGTAAATATAAAAGTTTTGGTGTTAGATATGTAAATATATAGAAATTGTGTGGTGATATGTAAATGCTCAAATAAAAGATATTTTGTATGTTACAAATGAAATTAAATTAAGATTCCAATTCAAATATGACCATCATTTTGGATTTCTCTTTTCGATGAAGCCAAATTTAGGTGAGATGCATAATGAATTCATTTTTTTATAAATAAATTATGTGTTTTTATATATTTTGGTGGGTTGAGAATTAGAAGAATTGTATTTAAAACTTTAATAAAATGTTTTTTTTTTTAATTTCTTAAAGAGAATTTAAATATATCTTTAATTATAAATTTTATTTAAAATGTTTTTCATAATATGATTTGTTTTTTATTTAATGTAAGAGAGCTAAATTAATTATTAAATAATTTTATTTCTATTTAAATTTTTAAATATTATATCATCTATTTTGGCTTTTTTATTTATTTATTTATAATTAGTGTTCCAAGTATGTAATTAACCTATATTTTTAATAGTAGATGCCCTCACTTTTTTATATTAATCGTATTTATATTGCGGTGTTTTTCGAAAACGCGTTCGGAGGGTGTTTGCTTTGCGCTGTGCGAGAGTTTATCCTACTAATTTATAACAATATTTTATTAAACGCAGCCGCAGGTTCGATCCCGCGGCCTGCATTCGTTCGAGTAGTAGTTACTCTGCTGCCACAATCTAATTTGCTTAAAGTAAAGGAGAAAAGCTAATTTCTAGAGTTATTCTAAACTAAAGACTCGACGATCACTCCAGTAGTTGACAACCATCGTAAATCATTACTCGTCGGCCGTTGTTGACCTCCTTCTGCTTGTCACCATTAGAGCACCTTGAGGTGCAACGCCATGCTACGAAGACGGTGTATCGAAATTCGAACAATAACTCTCAATATCAATCACTCCCTACCATTATACTGTGAACCCTTCTACAAACGAACAATATTCTTAGAGGGACTTTGTAACTCTTTCATGTCTGTGGGACAATGATCTATAGTTGTACTCATAAGCTTATATTTGATTACTCTTATTAGGCCAAGTCCCATGGGTTTTCCCTTATCAGATTTTCCACATAAAATTTCAGGTTTCTCAACCTATTATTATTTATATGAGCTAAATTTTCGTACAATACTAATACACTAAATAAACAGTTACGAGTCTTTTGACATTCAACATTAATTATTTTCAAATAATTATTAAATTCGATTAAACGTAATTATAGAAATGGATTTCTCTTTACACAAGTTTATGTAATATAATAAAAAAAAATAATACTCAAATTTAAATATAGCACATATATTTTTTTTAAATAAAATCATTAAAAAATTATGTTAAACGAGTTTCACCAGTAAATGTCGACCTTCGTTCGGGCCATGTGGGCCCGTTAGCTAGGCATGTGGCCAACGAGGCGACAGCCTTCTGAGGCACCATGACATGGAAACAACCGACAAACGAACCACGGTGAGATTACCGCCCAGGTTAGCGTGACCCGGGCCGAATCGAAAAATCGAACCGGAGAGCAGCTATTTTCAGGACAACGCAGCCGGACCTGAACCGCATTTTTGAAATACAGCTAAATCCGTCCTTTAAGATCCGAGCTGTCCTCCTCCTACCATGCATGCTCCTTTCCGTTACTTTCCGTCTTTCTCCACTCACCGAGGCAGAGAGAGAGAGAGAGTGTGTCTGTGTGACGTGATCCCACGGAGTGGCTCCCGTAACTACATGGATTGAGAAGAGGTGGGGTGTCAAAACCGCCGCCGCTGTAACAGCCAAAGCTCGGTGCTTTTTGCTTCATGGCCTTCTGGAAATCCGGCACGCTCTGTTCGTCCACGTGCTCGTCGGCTGAGACGGCGAATACGCAGGATAAGCCGGCGCTGGTGGGCTGTGTCAGAGTCAATGCTTTCGCGAGGACGTTTTTTCCGGCGAAGCGCTGCCTCCAGCTTGATCCTTCTTCCAAGCTCTACTTCCCATGTGAGTTCTGCTTCTTTATGGTGTTTTATCTTGATTACTTTTTTAATCCACTTTCGGTTTTAATATATATGGGGAAGTATTTTTGTTTTGCTTTTTTGGGGGAATTTGGGTGTGTCTGATTAGTCTGTCGATCGGGCATTTGATTAAATTAAATGGACAGATGGTTTCAAGGACAACTGCCCCCCTTAGGGTTGTGTAGATTTTAATAGTTTGTAATTGTAGGTTTCTATATATCATTTTAGTGCTTAAAGTCTGCATAAATTGCAGCTCGTTAAAGACTGTTCGGCCTTGTGCTTTTTTGCCTTTACTGTGACAGCTTGTGGTTGTATTGTCAGGATTACAAAATGGAAGTCGTTAGGAAGAAAATTTGAGTTCTTATGCTCTAAAATTTGTGAAATATGATGCTACTCATACATCCACGGACCATGTGTGCATGCAAATACTATAACATGCTAATAATTAATTGTAATTTTCATAAAATTGCTTATGTTGTTCTCACTAGTAATGTGGAGGATTATATAAATATGGGTCAAAGAATGGAATTGGTGAGGTGGGGTGCAAGGGGAGCCGATCCAGCCGTAGTTTGTGGGGATTAATTTTATGAGCACAGCATTTGATGAGGTTCTATGCAAAGAGAGATTAATTTCCAATTAATTATATACATTGATAATTCAATGGTTTTTCCATAGGAATAGTTAATATGGCTTGGAGCCACCCTCCATATTTTGATATGGCATACACCCATATGTTTTTTTTTTCCTTTACATTTTGCTATTGGCGTAGTAGAGCAAAACATCCAATTATCATTACCACCTCAGCCAACATAGACTTGCTATCAAGCAAGGCAAGGGGGCATTCATGGGGACTATGGTTGTTGCTTTTATACAAGATAATGAAGTTAAAGGTAAAAGAGGTGAGAAAATTGGATAGAAGGGCCTCTCTACTATAGTATTAATAGTTTTGTGTAATGGCCTTGTTTGAGGCACTTTGAGATTTGTTCGGGCTTAGAGATTTGTGTAAGTTGAATATAGTTTGGCAGAAATGTAAAGCTGCTATTCGATGATTCTTCATCTTGCTCAATTTTTCTTGTTTTCTTTTGTACCCAACTTAGTTCTTCAGGCATAAATGTCGGAAATTTCATATTTATTTGCTCTACATTAGCAGACGGAAGATAACATGATAAAAGATGTTCAAAATGATTTATGCAAATTGGGTTTAAGTCCTTGTTCAGTATTTAGTAGGTCTGAATGATGAGTAAGTTTTCATAAAATTGATATTAGAGAGTTGGGATAAAATTAATAATGATGAGCATAATGCAGGATATATGCTTTATTTGTTCCGGCAGAAATAAGTTGTGTTTAGCTCATACTTGCAAAAACCAATTTGGCAACCCAACCAAATGCTGTTTTTGTGATGTACAAGAATATAAATTTGATTTTGCTGCAAACTCATAAGTATTAAGTGTGTAATTTGGTTGGCCAATGGCCGTCGGTAGCTAACAATTTTATTTATTCGTTCTTCCTTATCTTTTGGGTGAGGATGATGCCTTGAGGTTATTCTCTTTTGAAAGGTTTGACTATTTCAGTCTACATCAATTTACTGCAAAATTTTCACTCTTAAATCCGTACAGTTGATTTCGCTTCATTTATTTTAATTTGGTTTATATGCTTACTTTTGAAATGCTGAAGCGCTGTTTTGTTTTTCAGTTTGAGTGATTCTAGCAGATTATACTAAGATTTTTTTCCCCTTAATTTTAATTTGTTTCTATTAGCTTTTAAAGGAAAAATAGATTATTTAGTTTTCTCTTATTGATGATATTAGCCTAATGCATCTGAAGCTATTCTTTCTAGTGGCTTATAATCTTGTGACATGACCATCTGGTGAATTGAGTTCATTTAATGTTTTATTTTCTTTTATGAGTCGCATAGTTATAATTGGGAAAATTGGTTGACCAAAATATTCAAATTAAGCCCTGTTTTTCTGATTCTTGATCTTCTTTATTTATATTATTTCAGAAGTACATAGTTCAGAAGAATTGCAATTATAGAGTTATTGTTTATGTCCTAAGTTATATTTGATTTTTTTCTTCTGTGAAGATGAACCTGGAAAGCAGGTCAGAAGTGCTGTTAGGATAAAGAATACTAGCAACTCTCATGTAGTATTCAAGGTGTGTTACATGTCTAAATTTTGTGCCATTGTAAAGAACTATTGTGGTATATTAGTTGTTCCAAATTTTTGTCTCCATATTTTGTATCTTCTTACTTGGAAGTTTATGCTTGGCTTTCTAATTTGTATGGCACACAAAAGTATTAAGTTTAATCTCACTTTCGATAGTAAAAATGACGAGCAATTAGCACTAACTTTATTAATTATTCTCATAATTTGACTGATGGTTTAATTTCAGTTCCAAACAACTGCACCAAAGAGCTGTTTCATGCGCCCTCCTGGTGGTACGCTGTCTCCAGGAGAAAGCATTGTAGCAACGGGTGATTATTTTTCCTTATCCTATTCCTATAGAGTTTCATTTTTCTTGCTCGTTCTATCCTGCATAATTCATCTCACATTCGTTTTTAATCAACAAGAAATTAGTTTTTCCTTGAAATCATTTAACAGTTTATTTTATTGAAGTTTCTCACACATTTATCGTGAATACTAGTTTTCAAGTTCGTGGAGCATCCTGCGAATGACGAGAAACCACTGCAGTTAAAGAGCAATGTCAAGTTTAAGATCATGAGTTTGAAGATGAAAGGACCAATTGAATATGTGCCGGAGCTGGTAAGTTTTTGTCTAATTAATTAGTCCGCTTAGGATCACTTTTGATTATTATTATTATTTATTATTTATATTTTTACTTGAAATAAAACATGTTTGATATTTTATAACAAGTTAACAAAAAAGCGTCCAAAATAACTTTTAGATGTTTTAAGTATTTTTAAAAATATGCTAACTTATTTTTCAGTACAAAATATTAAAACTGGTAAAAAAAAATGCACAATATAAGTATGTTTTATAATAAAAACAAAAGTATAAAAAAAAGTGGTCCCAAACAAGCCATAAGTCTATGGTTGGTGAATATTTTTACAAATGGGTCTAATTTGGTTTCATGATTATGATCTTCTAAGACTTCTATCAGCTTAGTCCGCTGCTATGAACTAAACCCTACCAGTTAAATCAATGTAGATTGTTTTAGAAGATGGTTTAACAGTAAGATGCTAGTTAGTGAATCTTGAAAGCGTTGGATCTAGCTTTTGTATCTACTGTTACTCTTGTTTAAAACCATTTGCCTTGAGATCAATTTTAGAGAAGAGGGTAAAACCTATCTGGTCCTGTTTTTTGTTTCACGTAACCTGCTAGAGATTGCAACACATAGATCAGCTTCTTTATAAGAATTAATGTAAATGTGTTTTTTAAACTGTCATTTGAAACTACTATATTGCAAGAAATGTTTGATAGCATTGATATACATTATTATCCAAAAAATGTCATTTTTCTGTTCGATACATAGCCTACGAAGTTCTCCAAGATTGACCATAACATCATTACTGGCCTAATATAGTATGTTTCAGCGGTTTGCATGTAAGAACCATTTATTATTTGTGGTTTTCAATGTTCTTTGATTACTTGTGTTAAACTTTATGTTCTTTGATTGCATGTAAGAAAAACAAATAATCAAAAAACTTTGATTATTTGTTCTTTGATTACTTTGTGCAAAGCCGTAATTGTGTTCTAAGCTTTAGCATTTTAAATCTCTGCTTGACAGTTTGATGAACAGAAAGATGAAGTTTTAGTTGAGCAAATTTTAAGTGTCGTCCTCTTTTATGCGGACCGTCCAAACCCAGTAAGTGATTACTTGAATATTTCTTTTATTTTTTTCTTAATTACCTGAATGATGGACCCTTATATCTGCCTTCAAATCATAGCATTAATGATGACTGAAAACAAGTTTTCAAATATAGCATTAATCAAGTTTGTTGCTTGAGTTAGGGTGTGTTTGGGGAAGCTACTGCTTTTCTGGAGCTGGTAGAAAGCTGATGATGATGAAGCAGGTGTCTATTTGAGAGATTTGTTCTACTGCTGCTCTTTCTAATGATGATTGTTTTTCTCTTATATATGTAATAAATAGAAATAATTGCGGTTTTCAAAATATTCAGAATTGAATAACATAAAGATGTCGTACTACCAAAAAAATTGATAGTTCAGTCTAAAATACTAGATAAACTATTTTAAGCAAATGACTACAATAATGAGGACAACAACGATAATCAGCATACCTAGAATGATTTTTGTCTTTAAAATCCTGATGATCAAGTATTTGGGACAATCTCTTCTCCATCCCTGCATCTCTCCTAAACTGATCACGGGCAGTGTCATCAACCCAATGGAAGAAGTCGCAATCATATTGATGAGTAGTATTTTTAAAAAATTTAATTGACTACAAGGCTGCAAAGATTTATAATCAATTAAAATTATTAATTAAAAAATAAAATAAAAATATATTAAATTATATTTAAATGATGTCTTAATATAAATAATAAGATTTAAATATTTCTCAAACTCTTAACATCCTACGACTGCGTGATTAGCGTTATCAAAACGATTCTTTGTTCGCGAACAACTCGTGTTCGAATTGCTAAGCAAACGAGCCGAACACAAACACACTTTTTGTGTTCAAAATATAAATGAGTCAAACATGAACAGTAATATTTTTTAATAAACCAAACACGAGCTGAGTCTGGGCTCGCTCTTGTTCGGCTCGTTTACATTCCTAGTAATTTCTTCTCTTAACTTTATCATCTCCTCAACACCTTTTCTTTTAGAAGTGTTGTACTCATTTGTCCTAAAGTCTTCTCCTTAACACCGAAGGTCCGACTTGATGTTGGTTAGCTTCCTCAGGCATGCAGGTAGGATCATCATCTAAGATTCTGAAATCGATATCTCTTCGAGATAGATGATTCCGTATAAAATTATGGAGTGCAGTCGTTGCAACAACTATTTTTACTAGATTTTTTGATAGAATATATAGACATATCTCGGTGTATGACCCACTTCTTTTTCCTTACACCAAATGCTCACTCGATGACACTGCGTAATGAAGAGTGTCTTTTGTTGAAGAGCTCATTCCTCTTTCTAATTACTTTTGCTACGCTCAAAGTTAGAGAGGTGATATCTCTTGTCGGAAAATGGCTTCAAAAAACTCCGCTGGAGTGGATATCTTGAATCGGCAAGATAATACTTTCCTGAATAATTAGTGGATTTGTTCAATAGGAAATATAATAGTAATAGATTAGTTAGATGCACTAACCTTACCGATATAGGGTATTTTTTTCTTCATTGACCATGTGTGTGTCAACATGCGTTCCATCAATTGTTTCGATACAGTCCTTATTATTAAAAAAAAAAATTACATAATACCTTCCTGAATAATTCGTGGATTTGTTCAATAGGAAATATAATAGTGATAGATTAGTTAGATGAAACAACCTTACCCATATCGTATTTTTTCTTCATTGACCATGTGTGCGTCAACATGCGTTTTATCAATTGTTTTGATGCAGTCGTTATTATAAAAAAAATTACATAATATAGGCTATTTATAAATTTTGTTTAATTTAATGAAGTATGAATGGAGAGTGAGCTCAATACCTTGAAAAATGGTATTATACCTCAGATCGCTACGGATTTCCCGAGGTGTTTGAGCAAAAGATGGGTTTAGTGGTTTGATAATTTATGTAGTCATTTTAACCAAAGAGTTAACCCCAATGCGAAAATACCATCTAATCATAACTGTGGAGCGCTGGAAACGCTCAGAAGCAGCATGAATGAACTCATTGTGCGACATAATGAAAAGCGTGATAGTTAGGACTTGTCGAGATGTAAATCTCAAAGATTCATGCAAATCATATTTGGATTGTAATTCATCTAATAAATCACAGAAAATAACTTTTGACATCTGGAACATGCTGTGAATCTGGCTTGGATGAGCTTCCAGTAGTTCACCAATCCATTTGTCACCCATAAATGATGATGATGTACAAGATGTCTTACAAATATGTCTCTGATAGTACTCATGAATAAGACAAACTGTACTTGTAAATATTGTCGCTTGCTCGACCATCTCTATAATCTCCTCTTCATTTGGTGGCTTCATATGTTTGAAAGAATAATGAAGCTTATTTCAAAAAAATATGTTATTTTCAATGTAGGTAAATGCTTAAATTGCGCGCAATGAAAGTAGTTTAACTACGAAAATCCACATAATAAAACGTCAGAAATAGTACGAACGAGTTATATTTCGTAATAAAAGTTAAATACCACAAATAGTCACCCTGCTTTTGTAGCCACAATTAAAAAAAAATGTGCATGTCATCGAACTAGTCTGATTCTCTAAAAAATAACAGAGGTAAGGAATCATCCTTTCAGGAAGTAGTGTGAAGAAAGCCTCTTGCTTGTTTCGATCATTAGAAGTTTTATGGCAAATAAGTTGAGGAGCATGTCATAAAAATTTTTTGGGATTGAGTCGAGTATCTTAACAACATTTGTCATTGTTAGGTATACATGGATAGCACTGCAGGCACTTGAAGCATTACTAGTGCAGTTTTTCACCAGCTATGATATCTACTGTGGGATTAATGAGCTGTTTCAACATCACTTTTCTTTTTCTTTTTTTGTGTCGAGGTTGCAGGTCGCTTGGAGTGACTGGACTCCCCCTGGTCTCTTTCACCCGGTTGTACCTCATAGACTCATCAATGTTGACTCCTATCGCTACAACACCAAGGAATATAGTATCTAGCTTCTCCTTCAGCTCCGTGTCAATGCCAGCAAGTCTAAATTTCTTTGCATTTGGTAAAATCTGCAATTGATAACCTTGATTTCTAAGATGCAAAATTTTAAAGCAATATTTAATTTAAGATATTATTCTTACTGAAATCTTCTCTTGCCGCCACTCCTCAGGTGCATCAACTGTTTTCCTAATAGGGTCCCATCCTAAATCAGTGGCTCCTCTCTTTAGTTCCTTCCACAACTTACAATTCTTCTTAAATTGATCTCATTTGTTTTTTAGCTGGGTTTTGTCGTACAGTCTACCGGTTCTTTCTTGAAAGAGTTTTGTTATATTTTGTAACATTTCTTATTGAAATTGGTGGTTGGTCTATTGTCCTTTTCTACCTCTCCCAAACTTAAATCATAGAAAATTTTCTTTGTTTCTATTCCAAATAGTGGATATCCAACCTTTTTGTTTACCCATCTGATATCTAAGTGAAGAAAAGAAATGTATCACCATAATTTGACGTGTATAACAACAATACATTAATCTAAAATAAGAATATGATAAATAAAAAGTAAAAGTAAAGCTCAGAATCAATTCATAGATATCAAAAATAGCTCCATCCAGGATCACCAATTGTGTTATCTATGCATAAAGATCAGGTGGTATCCATGTCAAATTAGCATGATTGTTTTATTTTCATATTCACAGTTCGTAATTAATTGATCCTTTTATTCTGTTTTTTCCATCAACGCTCTACTAAATATTTCACAGGAAATGTGAAATGTGTCTACCAAATTGCATTCTGAAAGCATCACTGTAAACAGAAACCAAGCAATCAACGGGTCCACAAAATATCCGTAGTAATAAGATCATATAAGTCTCAAGAATTATTTCCGATAAGTTAACAACATCCAATTCACAACATATTTCTCTTTAGATAATTATATGAGTACTGATTTTTAGTTTTTATGACAAATTTTGTTGGTCGAATTACTTGTTTTTGCTTCTCATCAGTGTGGAGTAACATTTTGGGGGGAGAATGTTGAACACCGCTTACTTTTTTTTAGTTTATGTTATATTTTTATGAATATAATTGTATATATTTTGTTGCATATTTGAATTTTGCATGATAGATTAGTTAGCAGCATCCTTACATGTCTGATCAATCAGTAAAAGCAATGGAATGAATTATATATGACCATTGTTTATTTGTTTCTTTCAGAATTTTGTGTACTTATTCTGCATATCCTTGCACTAATGTGAACCCTCAGATTATATGACAGATAAGATACTCATAACCAATTTTTTGTTTCTATTGCGCTATCTAAATCATGTCGTCGAGGCAATAATTAGAGCTCAGTGAGATCTCTTAACTAAATATGACTCCATCCATAATCACTGTTTTCCCAAATCGAATAAGCACTTGAACGTGTTATCTAGCAACAGGTAGTATCTATAGGAAAACAACCTCGTCAATTTAAAATTGACAAGTAATGATCGGTTGAGCCATTTGATAATTATTTTTTATCATCGCTCTAAATAACATTTGAATGGCATTCCGCATTTGATATCTTATCCAACATATATCCTCAGTTAATGCATGGGCATTGTAAGTACACATAAAATTCTGAAAGAAACAAAATAACAATGCTGAAGTGTACTTCATTCCATAGCTTCTAGTGTTTGATCAGTGCCCAACATTCAAATGCATAAGGTATTCCATAGCTTCCTGACTTACCATGCAAACTTTAAATGTATAGCAAAGCATATGCAATTCTATTGATAAAAGTCTCAACAGAAGAAAACTACGCACTTATCCCCCCCCCCCCCCCCCCAAAATGTTACTCCACATTGAGGATGCAAGTGCAAACAATTCGACCTGCAAAATATACTAGACAAACTGAAAACCAGTGTTCGTATACCAATCTAAAGAAATAAACTAAAAAAAATTTGAAATAAATAGATAAGCATTGCTCATATATTTCATCTCATTTCTTTTACTGAGCGTTCAAAACAGGTAAAGATGTTGTTAACTTATCTATCATACAAACTTCAAATATGCAACAAAACATGTGCAATTCTATTTATAAAGTCTCAACAGAAGTAAACTAAATGGTATCGTACACTGAGGAGAGAATAACAAGCAATTCGGCTTGTAAAATTTGTCAGAAAAACTGAATACCAGTGCTCATATATTTATCCAAACAAAATAAACCAATAAAAAAATCTGAAACAAATAGATAAGCATTGCTCATACATATTTCATCACATTGCTTCTACTAATTAATCAAAATAAGAAAGGATTCTGCTAACTTATTCATCATGCATACTTCAAATGTGCAACAAAACATATGCAATTCTATTAATAAAACTCTCAGATGAATTTGAAATATTACTCTGCACTGAAAACTAATCTATCTTGCATAGCTTCTATTGCTTAATTAGAATTACTATAGATGCTGCTAACTAATCTATCTTGCATAGCTTTTATTGCTTAATTAGAATTACTATAGATGCTGCTAACTAATCTATTTTGCAAACTTCAACATTGCATCAAAGCATATGCAATACAAGAAGAAAAAACAAATATGTGCTCAGAAATTTCCCTGCAAAATGTTCATCTACTCATATTCATGGGAAAGAGCAAGATAATCTGCCATCAAACATCAATGGATATATATGCAAATGAAGAACACAAAAAAATTCACAGAAGAAACAAAAGAACATAGGGCTAGGCAGCGAATGAACCGCAAAAAATAAAAAATAAAAAATCAGTAGAGGAGAAGACTTCACCAGAAGGTTGCAACAAGTTGTCGATGTCGAACGAATGGAGGGGAGCGGAATCAAGTTTCAGTCCTAACGATACGAGTGATAATGGAGGACATAGGTGAGGGTATATGCGAGGATAGGAAGTGAGATTACCTGAAATTCGAAGGGGCAGAGGCGTCAAAGACATCTCGCAATAGAGCTCCAACCGCAGAATGCCCTCTCCCTCTTCTGTTTCGGCGTTCAACTTATTGCTGCCCCAACCAACAAAACACTCGAAATAAAAGGGTTCCCAAATGCCGCTTCTCCTTTTCTGCAACGTAAAAGCCGCAAAAAAAGGGTCCTAAACGGGCCCTTAAACTCAAATCAAAGTTAACGAGCCATGCCTAGCTTGAATCAAACAACTTTTAATCAAACGATATACATAACTGATGTGATCATGCTAGTACCAGGCGATCTTTAATTTTTAGAATTTGATTTGGAAACTTAATTTTAGCTATTTGCTCTTACTGTGCTTTGGCTCAAAATAGAAATTTTTTTTTTTTTTTATTTCATGCTTGCTAATGAATTTCAATTATGTTGTTATTTTAAGCTTCCATGATCCTTATTTTCTTATTTAATTTTATGAACTGTATGTATTATATGAACTGTATGTATTATTTTAACTCAGGCAAAATCATTTTGGTTTTGATACCCTCATATAATTAAATTATTTTATTTTTTTTATTTTTTTTTATTAGAGATGGCATATTATTTTTCATGTCAAGCATCGAGTTTCTTTTGTGTTTGCACCTTGCACACAGTTTTTATCAAAATATCATATTTAGGGGAGTTCTTTTTAGTGATTATGCCAAACTTAGAAATGATGGGGAACCCCCTTTTGATAATGTGAAAATTGAGGAGAGTGATAAGATCAGATAATTGGAAATGGTGATGGGGTGTGAACAAAAGAAAAATATTTTACATTCATACCATTCAATTCTTATGAATTTACATATCTGACACCTAAACTTCATTTTTGACATTCATGTCACAATACTTGAGCATGAAAAGATTTATGCATGAAAAGGTGTATTTCACTTTTTAGAAGTTAAAATAGTTGTATTTTTATGTGATCTGATAGATTGGAGTGGTATAAATGTCAAAAACTAAGCTTACGTGTTAGATGTGTGTATACATAAGAATTGAGTGGTACGCATGTAAAGGCCCCAAAGAAAAAAATTGAGCTTTTACATAAGGACGGGGGAAGGATCTCCATGAAGGCTGCGGCGACAGGGCAATACAAAGCAAGTATTAGTGATGATAAGGACAAGCGGAAGTTCATAAAGTGTAAATATATTAGTTCCTTCTCTTGTGATGGTGAGAACATGCATATTTTTCATAAAATGCTTTAAAAATCTTGAGTCCTTAATTATGCTTTCTACTTATTTGTTGAAGCATTTGGACAAGCTAAACGACCAGCTTGCTGAGGCAGATGCCGCACTAGAAGCTCGCAAGAAGCCACCGGAGAGCACCGGGCCACGAATCGTTGGAGAAGGACTCGTAATAGATGAGTGGGTAAGTGAACCTCTCATTATTGTTGTTTCTTTGGAATATTTTCGTATGTACCATTCAATTCTTATTTACATACATATCCAGCACCTAACTCCACTTTTTACATATATGCCTCCTTATCTATGCTTGAAAAATGTGTATTTAACTTCTTAAAAGGTTCAAATAGTGATATTTTTGATGTGATATAAAAAATTTGAGCAGTATAAATGTAAAAAGTCAAAGTTTAGGAATTAGATATGTAAACACATCAGGAGTTGGGTGGTATATATGTAAATGCCCCTTTTATCTTTTTTTTAAGCTTGCTTGCTAACTGCTTCTGCTGGGTAAACTATCTTTCAGAAAGAAAGAAGGGAAAAGTACTTGGCAAGGCAGCAAGTTAAAGCAGTGAATTCATTGTAAAACGTGTTCTGATGTATAATTAGTAGCCTTTCAATGGATAAATTAAGCATGTTTGTTACCGTTGAGGTATACTTTCAATTCATGAAATTTGATTTTTTTGGGCAATTTACAAAGATAAGTTTCTACAATGTTGATGTTACGAACCTGCGGTGCTGTAATTGATCAAGGGTTGATCTTGTAAATGATCTTCTTTGGTTGTCAGAAATAGAGATTTTTAATCCAATGTTGATGTGGGCCAGAAGGGCTTGTATTCATTGATTAACTGGGATGGTCAAGTCCTTCAAATTTTTGTGTTCTGTTGTTAGCATTTACATACTTATCATACATTTCTTGTGTATTTATATATTTCAACCCCTAAACTTTCTTATTTTCATGTATAACCAATGTGTAAGTATTACTTTTTTTTTTTGAAGTGATATATTTGCTTATGCATAAGGTGATAATTACAAAATATTATAAATGTAAATATAAAAGCTTAGGTATTCGATATGTAAATAAATAAAATTTGTATGCTATGTAGGTAAATTTTCCTTGAAAAAGTTAATCAAGTCTTATATTGCTTACACAGGAGTGAATGCTGCATCTTCCAATTCGTAATTGAAAGAACATTATGATTCATGCCATGCATGATATTGTTTTATATCTCAAAAAAATTATAATTTTTTTGAATAAAAGGATAATAGATTGCTCAAGCTATCGGGAAGCCGAAGCACTAAATGTGCCTTTTGGGCCTAATGAATCGAGCTTATTTGTCATGCGTCAAAAGCCTAGTTGGAAGTAGATTGTATTTGCAAACCATGTCCGCCATGGTAAACTTGCCTTTCAGAAGGACTTTGTGAGCTCAGTAGTATTCATGTGAGCTCCTCTATCGATTTCACCAGTACGCATAAATCTCTCCCACCAAGCTCGCTTGTAATCATCGAGCTCTTTCATCAAGTTAGCTTACACCCGCCAAGCTACACCAATGAGGTCGAACAATCCTCTAAGATTGTTTGAGCGACACGAAGAAGGGAATCCATCACTACGCATGCCCTTTTTTTAGGTCGCGTGACGCTCATGATAGTATCTTATCAGCTACAACTCTTAGTTGGCTTTGTACAACATTGCCTAGGGCATATCAATTCTCTATTTCTTTTTCTAAAGGTAACCCTACTAAAGTAAGGACACCTTATGACATTTATATATATAAGAGTTCTTACTCTTTCAAGGAGAGTACATAGGTCAAAAGTGTGGGAGATACCCTCAAAATAATATTCACATTGTACATATAAAAGGTAGATTACCCAAGTTACCAGGAAGCCCAAACACTAAATGAGCCTTCTGGGCCTAATCGATTGAGTTGATTTGTTTTGCATCTAAAACTTGGCTGCAAATATATTGTAATAAGTCATATTTCAGAACTTGGTAGGTTCTTCCGACGAGCTCTTCAATATTCATGTGAGCTCTTCCGTCGAGCTCACTCGTACACAGCGAGCTCTTCCACCAAGCTCGGTTGTAATCATTGAGTTCTTCCATTGAGTTCACGTAGACTCACCAAGCTACACCAATGAGGTCACGAAATGATCTAATCATTTAAGGTTGTTTGAGCTACAGTACGAAGGGACCCCTATTCGTCAATGTACATGCATATTTGTGGGTCTCATGACACCCATGACAACATCTTATCAGCTACAACTCTCAATTGGCTTCGTACGCCATGACTTGAGGTGTAACAATTTTTCTTAATATAACACTACTAAACCAAGGGCACGATGTACGAATAGAAGAGTTCTTACTCTATCAAGTAGATTCCATCGATTAGAAGTGTGGGAGATACCCCTCAAAATCCACCACTCATTTTCCCTTCCTTTAACTTAGGATCTCTCCCAGATTGTGAGGATTCACGAATTAGACACCCTACGCGCTAAAAGTATTCACCACACAACAATTCTTTAAATCAATACTAAATATGAACATTAAAAAAATTCATCAAAAAATTGGAAGTTAATATTCAAAATCAATTAGACGTTGGCCCCAGACAGCTTGAATCGCACTTAAATTATCTATTTAAGATGATATCATCCATTAAACCTCATCGGAGCGTCCTCGTGGGGCCGTTTCGTCATCCCACGGTCAGGATTCAACCACTTCCAACGTCTACTACTCCCAACGGTCAAAAATCTGAATTACAAAAAACACAACCCTACCACTTCGCCTCCCACTGAACCGTCGCTCCAAAAAACCCGCTGCAACAGCGAAATACAAGAAGAAAAAAATTCAAAATCATCTCAAACCTAAACAACTTTCTTTTTCAAATCTCAAAAGCTCTCCATTTTCCAACCCCCAAATCAATGAGCTTCTCAACCGCAGTCCCGAATTTGAAGATTTGGGACAACGCCGCTTTTGACGCCGACGATCACGCCGGAGCAAAACCATTGCTTCCCCTGCAACCCATCTCCATGAACGTCTCCAAATCACCCGATCTTGATCAGAGCAAGAAGAAACCATCCAAGCAGCCTTGCAAGCAGAACTTTGGAGAAATCCGCAATCACGACAATGTAGACGCCGAGATTGAAGAACTGGAGAAGGAAATCCGGCGACTTTCTCTGAAGCTGGAGGCTCTGCTCATCAAAAAGGCCGAAAGAGAATTCAAGATCGCCACTGCACGACGTGGAAGGATCGTACCGGCAAAGTTCATGGAGCAGAAGCCCTCTCCGGCTTCTAAGAAGATAGAAGAATCTCCAGCGAGATTCAGCCGGAGGGGTCTCAGTCTAGGTCCTTCGGAGATCTATGGAAGCGTTGGGAAGTCATGCTTTCAGAAGCTTGAAGGCATCCGAGAAGAAAACAGCCCAATTCCTCTTCTAACCACGGCCACTGAAATCCATGGATGCAAGAAGGATGCTTCCAGTTCTGGTTACCGGCGAAGAGGCCAAAGCCTTGGCCCATCAGAGATTGGTTTGAATTCTCGATCTCGTTTGCCCAATAAGCTTCAACAAATAAAGGAAAAAAAGAAGAGACAGAGCTTGAGTATGAGTCCTAGATCTCGAAAGCCATCCATTTCAACTATATCCGAGTTAAGGAAGGGGATAGCGACCGTTAGTGCCATAAAAGCAATCAAAAGAGAGGATTCCATTCTAAGAAGCTTCAATTCCAAGAAACTTTTTCAGGAGGAACAGAATCAAATCTCCAGCAAAAAGCCATCAAAGAATGCTAGGGTGAGGATTGTTGCGAGCCGTTACAGCCTTGCCGAGCCAGAAAGCAAACGTAGGAAGTGGTCTATATTGGAGCCTCAGAAGCGCTCCTTTTCTCTTGGAGAATCATCAAAAGTCTCGGAATCACCGAAAAAGGGAGAAGAAAATGGCAAGCCCTTGTTGATTCCGAGCTCTCCTCCATCAATCATGAAGATAGCTACAATGCTTCCAAGGATTAGAACGTTGAGGAATAAGGATTTGAGCCCGAGGGACTCGGGATGTGCTAAGAGAGCTTCTCAGTTGGCTGATAATAAATCTCATTTTAGTATGGAGGATGATCAAGTTGGCGTTGTCTCTCCCTGCAAATTCCCTGAACTATGAAGAGTAGCGAAGTCGGGTGAGTTAGTAATGTTCTTGATGGTTTACTGATTTGTGTTGCCTTAAGAAGTGAATATTTGCTTGCAAAAATCGGTTGTTTTCAAGTTGGATTTCTTGCTATTGGAAGTGGATTTCATGAAAGAATTTTGTGCTAGTATCCTACAGGCCAAAGTTTTGTTGGGGCCATCGATGTGTATGGTTCATTGTTGTTATTTTCTTTGCCTCTTGTGCAATATGATGGTATTGTCCATTTTGTTTGGAAATTGCTCAAATGGGAGGTGGGGCTTTCATTTACTTATCTTTTAGATTATATTATTCATATTTTTTGTCAAAATTGTATATTGATGTAAAAATTTTATTGCAGGCTTTTAAAGTTTTGGGTCTCTTAGGTTTGATAGGCAGTTAGGTGAATGAACTAATTGATGTGATGCAAGAATGAAGATAACTGAAAAAACAAGGAAGAATTGTAGATAATAGATATAAAAGTGGATAAATACATGATCTTCACAAGTCCTGTGGTAACTTCTCTTTTGTTTGTGTACTCACTATTACATAGTAGATTATTTCAATTGAGATAGGTCTCATGGATTTTTCCCATTTTCAAGATTTTTCATGTAAAATTGAGGTGTCTCTCCTCGTTCTTACTTTTCTTTTACTTGAGTGTGTCCTAAATTTTTATGTAATGCTAAAAAGCTAAATAATCATTCTACCACCATGAACCTTCCAGCACACATCACATATAATCATATAGTTGGCCATAGATATTCATATATGTTTTTCATGTTATTTAGTGGCCCTTTATATTCCTATTTTTTCATAATCATGAAATTCATGTGTAGGCATCATCTCTTGAAATTGAAATCATCTTTGGAAAAAGTGCTTATTTTTCTTTGGGTTTTATCTGGTGGCAAATTCTTCATTCTTCTTTTGGTGATCATATTTAACTCTAAATATTCACCATAATTATTTGAGGGGACATAAAATTGATTATTTTTATAAGAGTTCTTAATTTTAGTCTTTCAATTTGAGGAAATAAAATATATTGATTAATATTTCATTTTTTTTTATGACCATGGACATTAATTTGTTTTTTCACGTTCTTATGTAGCAGCTCTTTGTTGTTGTTTTCATATTCTTTTTAAAATTCATGTTTGCAAATATCTATATATAATTATGAAATTCAAGTTATTAGCACCATCTTTTGAAATTGAAATCATAATTGGAGAAATAATCCTTTTTTTTCTTCGAGGTTCATTTGGTGGTAAATTTTTGTCTTTAGTTTTATTAACTAAATTAAATCTCTTTTGGTGAGGATGTTCGTGTTTTATTCTTAATCATCCACTCTTTTACATATTCTTTTTCTCACATTCTCATGAAATGGTTTGAAACCTCTCTCTAAGCTTTAAGACTTCTCTCCCCCTTATTATTTCCATGTTAAGCCAATTAATCTAAATGTATCTCAATTCAACTAGCTAACCCTCCTTCAATTCCAATCATAAAAAAAACCCATAATAGTCCTAACAACCTATATTGTTCATAAAATACAATGCCCACTATGCTCATAAAAAATCAATTATCTAAAAAGTCACCTCTTATCACATTATTCCTTTATTATATCCATCAAGTAAAATAAATCCAATATATAAATATTACAATCATTTAGATGCATACTCCACAATTCTTATGTATTTAAATAACAAACACCCAAACATTTACATTTACATGCATGTCACTCGAATCTTTAACATTACATTAAAATTTCACCATCATTATATTTTTAAAAGAGAATACACCTTTTTTATGCCTAGGTTTATGATTCCAAGGTGTTATAAGTGTAAATATTGAAATTTGAGTGTTAGATATGTAAATACATAAGTGTTGTTTGTTTGTAAATTTTTCTAAACGTTATAAATCTTTATGTATTTTTTTCTTAAAAAATGAAAGAATAAAGTGTTCTTAAAATATCTCTAGTATTGCTATCATTTATTTATACAATAGGAGATAATAGGGTGTAATGATTCTACATCTGCCCTGAAGTTCTTTTTATATCACAAAGTTTTAGTAATAAAAGTCAAATTCCTCATATTTCATTCAACGAACTTCTAAAATTGCTAGGGTGGTAAGAATTAACAAGTTGATGAATAGAAGACAATTTTTCATTCATGACAAATTAGAAGTTGGTGTTTGCCTCTCTTAGCGTTGAACATCATTTGATCTTTAGATTATTGCGATAAGCAATCTATCTTCAACTTTTACGATGCCATCACACTTGCTTGTGAGTTGAGACAGTGATTGAGGGTGTAGTTTCACTCTGTGAGATCGAAGTGATGAAGACGAGACCATTCGTCATTCATGACGAATTACAAGCATGTGTTTGGGTGGAAGGCATTAATAAGCTGGTGAATAGAAGGTAATTTTTCATTCATGACGAATTATAAGCATCTAGATGGTTGAGATAACCAAACTTATGTTGCCAACAAACTTGAGATATAGTGGTGGATGGTGTAGGTTCACATCGTGAAATTGCGAGTTCGAATTACGCATATTACCCCTTCGCCTCACCTTTCCAGAAAAATAAAAACTTTTAGGTGGTTATGGCAAGCTTCATGTTTGCCATCAATTATTATGATAAGGAGTCTTGATGATATAATACATGATGAGTAAGGTCAATCATTATTATCAAATTTGAAACCTCGAGTTTAAGCTAATTAATCTAAATGTATCTCAATTCAAATAACTAACCTTACTTCAACTCCAATCATAAAAAAATTTACATCACAACCCCAAGTAACTCTTTTTTCCTAACAACTTATTATTCATAAAATACCCATACCCATTATGCTCATATAAAGTCAACTATCTAAAAGGCCACCACAAATCACATTATTCCTTCATTCTATCCAACGAGTAAAATTAATCCAATACATAAATATTAGGGATATTTAGATACATGCCACACATTTCTTATGTACCACACATTTCTTATGTATTTACATATCGAACACCTAAACATTTGCATGCATATCACTCAAATCTGTAACATCACATCAAAATTAGGGATATTCGGATACATACCAATACATAAATATTAGGGATATTTAGATACATACCACACAATTCTTATGTATTTACATATCAAACACCCAAACATTTGCATGCATATCACTCAAATCTTTAACATCACATCAAAAATACTGCCATCATTATATTTTTAAAATAAAAATACACCTTTGTTTGCATGGGTTTATGATTCCAAGGAGTTATAAGTATTAATATCAAAGTTTAAGCATTAGATATGTAAATACATAAGAATTGTGTGGTTTGTATGTAAATTTTCCTAAATATTATAAAGCTTTATGTGATTTTTGCTTAAAAAAAAAAAGATAGTTATCTCTAAAACCTTCTCAAAATATCTCAACTATAAAATAAACTATTATTATTTATACAATAGAAGATAATATGGCGTAATGGTTGTACATTTGTCTGTTGAAGTTCTTTTTATACCTGAAACTCTTATTAATAAAAATCAAATCTTCATATTCCATTCAACAGACTTCTAGAACTGTTAGGGTGGGACAAATTAATAAGCTGATGAATACAAGAAAATTCTTCATTCATGATGAATTATAAGCAGGTGCTTGCCTATGCCCCCTGTGCTGAACATCATTTGGTCTTTAGATAATTGTTATAAGCAATCCTTCTTCAACTTTAATGATGCCAACACACCTACTTGCGACATGGTTGTTCAGGATGTAGTTTCACAGTCAGATTGCGGGTTCTAGGCGCACATATTGCCTTTTGGGTTCATCTTTCTCGAAAATTAACAAGTTTTACAATGCCATGAAGAAAATGATTTGAAATATTTGACCATCAATGAAAGCTAAAAGATATTGCCCAATCATTACGTGGTTATTGTAAGCTTCTATTCATCATCTATTATTATGATAAGGAGCTTCGATGTTATAATAAATGATGAGTAAGATCAATCATCATTATCAAATTTGAAACCTCAAGTTGTTACCAAAGCAATCCCTTATTATTTCCAACGTTAAGCCAATTAATCTAAATGTATCTCAATTCAATTAGCTATCCCTCCTTCAATCATAACATATTTTACATCACAATCCCGAATAACTCTTTTTCCTAACAACCATGCCACACAATTCCTATGTATTTACATATCAAACACCCAAATGTTGGGAATGAAACAATCCTCTTAAGCTTTACCAAGCTTAGATTAAATTTAAGTCTAAACGATACCATGGAATAAATCACACAAATTTGAGAAAAATGGAACAAAATTTATAAACGGAAGCACAAAAAAGAAAATCCATAAAAGCACAAAAGACTTTAACGTGAAAAAACTTGAAAACAGGAAAAAGCACGGAGTCACACCAACATGAAATTTTCACTATGAATTCAAAAAGTTTACAGAGAACACACTCAATTCCTCTATACAATCAAGAAAACTTATAACGCTTCTCTCCAAATCCTTCTTCTCAATCCGACAAGAGAAACACACTTGAAAGTTTTTTCTCTGACACTTCTCTTCTTCACCAAAAAATTGTCGAAGAAAACACACGCTAGAACTTCTCCATTCCGTCGCTCGAAAATACCTTCTTAAGTCGAATCCTGGAAAAGCCGTATCGGGAGCAAGAGAATCCAGAACTGGGTGCTGGATCGACGGTCTCTCAGGCAGGAAGACGTTGTAAACCTGAGGCGTGGGCATGGGAGTACCCACAGTTGGGTGCAAGAGCACTCACATTGGGAGCATGAGCGTCGTTGGGTGGGCGCAAGGGCACCTAGTTACCGGGTGCAGGCGCAAGGGCACCTAGTTACCAGGTGCAGGAAT